TCATTGTAGTGAACTGTTTGTTCTGAGCACTGCTAGACGTAATTTCTGGCAACGAAGACGCGCTCCCGATCCAATACGACTCCTTCGAAAGGATGTCTTCGTCAGCGTCGATCATCGAGTGGCTGATCGACGGGCAAAGGCTTTCGAGGGATGTGTCAGAAGGGCTGTTGACATTCGTTGCTATCTCCAGCGGACTCAATGGAGCAACACTGTTGTTTCTGATCGTATTGCAGGTAGAGGAAGTCATCGTACTGTTCCAGAGGGCCTCAATGCTCGGCATTGGCGTGCCGTTGCCATAGGACGATGTTGCAACCTGAGGTACGACTGCGACCGTGGTTGCGGTTTCGGCTGTAGAGACCAAATGAGCCTTCGTATCGCCGCCCTCTGACAAATCAGCAGTCGCCATCGCGGATGGACTGTTGCTGGCAACGCGAGGTGTACCGTGTTTCTTCAAGTTTTCATCACTTTCACCTGTAGTGGCAATACCATTCACAACATGATACTCGAGCTCGGTCTCTCTCTCCTCGTTCGGACCGATGGTGCTAACAATGCAGATATTCTTCTCCAGAGCTCGGTAGTATTTGTCGACGCGAAAATAATGCTTCTTTGGTGAGGTGATCAGTTCGCACATGCGCTGTATTGTGAATGGAATACCCTGAAATTCGCGGACGCGTTTCAGAACCCGTTCCCTGCACTCCAAATACGACTTATCGTCCGTGTTGCGCATTGGTGCATTGACAGCCATCTCGAGCATTGCGCGCTCTAGCCGGCTGATGAACAGCGGCCTAATGAACAACCACTCAAACAACGTCTTGCCAGTGCGAGCGACATGTATCAGATAGTCGTCAAGAAGTTCCGCACTACTTTTGTCACTCGTGCAAGTCTCAGCCCCACCACCAGTGTCATCACTACCGTCGCCTAACTTTGAAGCATTGAACTGCGCTATCGCTTGACGGAAACTTTCTTCCACGTTGTCCTGGACCATCTCCCTATAACGGCAATACGTTCATCAGCAGGGTTACCGTTCATCAGCAAATAGTCCGGCTAACCAAAATTTTAAAATCGATAATACGAATGGCCAAACATGATGCTGTGCTTAAAGAACAAATTTTAAAAACGTTATCCACGCAGCCTGACTTTTTCGTTACATAACAGTATATGATCTTCCAGATTCCAAACTCTTGTTCAGTTCATGTGAAAAGAAGGAAAAAAGGAAGGAACTTTTGTAACCGCTGGAATATTAATTTTTCTTTCACTTTCATGATGGAGCCATTTCTGGTGACCTGCATTTCATGAAGTCAATGATGGAGCGCTGATCTCTATTTCCAGTTCATCAGCCAAGAGTGCCTCATTTTAAAGGCACAGTAGACAGCAGATATGTGAAAAGTATAGCGTATAGTACCCTGTTTCTTTCTCGCAGAACAGCGCTCATTTATCAACTTTAGAAGAAAGTGACATGACGGGTTTCGAACCCGGTATGTATAACGCTCTTTGACTGAATAACTCGGCACACTGGGAAAGCTAACTGACGCAAGTAAAAACCAAAGTGGCATGATGGAGTAATTATAGTACGGTGTATTCTTATCGAAAGCTACAACAGGCTAGTCGTGAACTCAGTCCATCAAAGACCAGGGTGAACTGAAATGGTCAATCAACAAGGCTATATAGTGGCGAAAAAATGAAGTGAGTGTCTCTGCACAACTAACTTCACGCTGTTTCAGTCTGAAATGTCACAATAGCACCGCGCAAGTACTGCTACTCAGAAAAAAAGGGTCGGCAATAGCAGCTTTTTTATTACTCTGACCCATAACTCGAATGATTTGGTAGAAAACAATTATATTCGATGACAAGTAACTGGACTCCTTAAGAAAGCATGGCATAGTACATTGGCGTAAATTGTATCAACGGAACTCCGCCATGGCCGGTCCCAAGCCCGGATGAGAAAGGAGGAGGGTTGGAGACCGTGGCAAGTC